GTATGAGCTTTACAACGATATGGACATAGTGCAGCGAATTAAAATACAGCGGCTCCGCTGGCTTGGTCATGTCGTTCGAATGGACACCGACGCTCCAGCTCTAAAAGTATTCAACTCGGAACCCGCTGGTGGTAGAAGAGGAAGAGGGAGGCCCCCACTGCGATGGAAAGATCAGGTGGAGAAGGACTTGGCTTCACTTGGCGTTTCCAATTGGCGTCAGTTGGCACAGAGGAGAAACGACTGGCGTGCTTTGCTGAACTCAGCCAAAATTTAATAATGTCGGTGTTAATGCTGGTTCCCAAGTAAACGAAATTCTCTACTTTCTCGAAATTGTAACTGTCAACAGTAACGTGGGTGCTAAGGCGTGAATGTGCTGACTGTTTGTTTGATGACAGGAGATACTTCGTCTTGTCCTCGTTTACCACCAGACCCATGCGCTTTGCTTCCCTATCCAACTTGGAAAAGGCAGAACAGACTTCGCGGTTTTTGTTACCGATGATGTCGATGTCATCGGCATAAGCCAGCAATTGCACGCTCTTGTAGTAAATTGTTCCTGAGCGGTTCAGTTCTGCAGCTCTTATTATCTTCTCCAACATCAGATTAAAGAAGTCACATGAAAGGGAGTCGCCCTGTCTGAAACCCCGTTTTGTGGCGAACGGCTCGGAGAGGTCTTTTCCAATTCTGACGGAGCTGGTGGTATTGCTCAACGTCATTTTACACAGCCGTATGAGTTTTGAGGGGATGCCAAATTCAGACATAGCGGCGTATAGGCAACTCCTTTTAGTGCTGTCAAAAGCGGCTTTAAAGTCGACAAATAGGTGGTGAGTGTCGATCCTTTTCTCGCGGGTCTTTTCCAAGATTTGGCGTATTGTGAATACCTGGTCTATGGTGGATTTGCCAGGTCTAAAGCCACACTGATAAGGCCCAATCAGTTCATTGACGGTGGGCTTCAGTCTTTCACACAATACGCTCGATAAGACCTTGTAACCTATGCTTAGAAGGCTGATCCCGCGGTAGTTGGCGCGAATGGCGGGGTCACCTTTCTTGTGGATTGGGCAGAGCACACTTAAATTCCAGTCGTCGGGCATGCGTTCATCTGACCATATTCTGCACAAGAGTTGATGCATGCACCTTATCAACTCCTCGCCGCCGTACTTGAATAGCTCAGCTGGCAGGCTGTCAGCTCCAGCGGCTTTGTTGTTTTTCAGCCGCGTTATTGCTATACGTACCTCGTCATAGTCAGGCGGTGGAACGTCGACTCCGTCATCATCGACTGCGGGCTCGGGTTCTTCTTCTCCACAACTTTCCGTGCTGCTACCATTTAGTAGGGCGGAAAAGTGTTCCCTCCATAATTTAAGTACGCTCTGGACATCAGTTACTAGGTCGCCATTATTGTTCTTACAGGAGTGCGCCCCGGTCTTTAAACCTTCCGTAAGTCGCCTAACTCTCTGGTAAAATTTTCGGGCATTCCTCCTGTCGGCCAGCATTTCAAGCTCTTCGCACTCACGTATTTCTGCCTCTCTCTTCTTGTTGCGGCAAATACGTCTCGCTTCCCTCTTCAGATCCCTATAGCGGTCCCACATAGCGCGCGTTGCGCCCGATCGCAGCGTGGCCCTGTAGGCGGCATCTTTTTTCTCTGCAGCTTCCTGACACTCCTCATCGTACCAGTTGTTCTTTCGGGCTCGCTGAAATCCGACTACTTCTTCGGCGGCGGTACTTAATGAGCGGGAAATGTGGTTCCACTGCTCGCATATGTCGGTTTGTTGAAGAGTGCTCTCTGAGAGCAGGTGTGAGAGTCGAGTAGCGAAAGCGCTGGCTGTCTGTTGTGATTGCAGCTTTTCGACGTTAAGCTTTCCTTGCATATTTGGGCGCACATTTTTTGCTGCACAGAGGCGGGTGCGTATCTTGGCTGCAACAAGATAGTGGTCCGAGTCGATGGTTAGGCCTCGGAGTGTGCGTACGTCTAAAACACTGGAAGCGTGCCTTCCGTCTATCACAACATGATCGATTTGGTTTCTCGTTTTTCGATCCGGAGACAGCCAGGTAGCTTGATGGATCTTTTTATGCTTGAACCTAGTACTGCATACTACCATGTTTCGGGCCCCGGCGAAGTCGATCAGCCTCAATCCGTTGTCGGACGTTTCGTCGTGGAGGCTGAATTTTCCGACGGTGGTTCCAAAGATCCCTTCCTTGCCCACCCTGGCATTGAAGTCGCCAAGCACGATTTTGATATCATGACGGGGGCAGCGCTCGTACGTGCGCTCCAAGCGCTCATAGAAGAGATCCTTGGATGCCTCATCCTTCTCTTCCGTCGGGGCATGGGCGCAGATGAGCGAGATGTTGAAGAATCTCGCTTTGATGCGGATTGTGGCTAGACGCTCGTCCACCGGGGTGAACGACAGTACTCGGCGACGGAGTCTCTCTCCCACCACAAATCCAACTCCGAATTTGCGCTCCTTTACATGGCAGCTGTAGTAGACGTCGCAAGGCCCCAGACATTGTTTGCCTTGCCCCGTCCAACGCATTTCTTGGATGGCGGTGATGTCAGCTTTTGTCCTTACGAGGACATCAACCAGCCGGGCAGAGGCACCTTCCCCATTAAGGGTCCGGACATTCCAGGTGCATGCCCTCAAATCGTAGTCCTTTAAACGTTTGCCGTGGTCGTCATCATAAGGGGGGGTCTCATCCGAGGCTTTGCCTTGCTTCTTCACTGGAAGTGGTTTTTACGTGGCGGGTCCCAAGCCCAGCGCACAACCCATTGCTGGGACGGGGGTGGTTTCGCAACCAAATACACGTTTATATAGCGAGCCGCTTGCTCCAAGCAGACACCCGCTTGCAGCCGCACCTACTGGTGAACAGACGCTGCAGACTTCAGTGAGCCCTTAAACCGAATAAGTCAGAGTGGCCCCACCGAAGCTCCCTCTCTTTCTGCCGTGACCCAAGGCTCCACTCGGATTGGTTACCGCATCTCGCACATGGGTTGCTCACGTTGCCCAGAGTGCGCGAACGAGGACGCAAGAGTCGGGATTGAGTATAGCCATGCAACTGTAACTGCATACCCAGCGCAATGACTATACCCCATACTATATGAACTTACGTGTATATATTTTTTATACGAGCTGCTTTTTTTGTAACCGAGCTACAAAAGGACACTCGGTAGTGCAACGAAACACATGCAAAGCAACAATACAAACTCGGCTATTTATCCGAGTTCAGCGAGGTCGGTTAAAAAATACGCGACCCGAAGGGTGGTGAAAAACTGCTCTATTGTTTTGAATTGTTAATGGGACAGTGGAGAGGTAAATTGTTCATTATATACATGATTTATATTTCAAACAAGTTTATACATTACGCAAATATCTCGCATAATTACTAATTTCCATTGGTTTTTGTATATTAATCCCTTTAATCTAATCTCATGTTACTTGCCAGATAGCAAAAGGGTTGCTTAAGTAGCCAAAATGAAATTTTACCGGAGTTGAGCGTTCTTTTGCGGCACGTTTGGAAAGAAATTAAGCTAGTAGAACTCCTTCTGATGCATTAAAAAAAAAATTCAGCGGCTGCATTCAAAGGCAAATTTAGTTTATATATGGTTTTGTTATCAAGAGCGAACGGCAATTTCTATGCAGTACTGCAACTCGATGCACCATGTATTCAAATACATCACACAAATGTGTGTTTAAATATGCAATATAGTATGAATAAAGATGTAAGTATGCCCATATATACACACATATGTAGGTAAAATAACGCGGCATGTCACAAAGCATTGGAACAATAGTCGAGTGCACTTCGGCAATTGCAAAAAGTAGAGTGTTAATAGCCACAAAATGCAGGAGTGTAGCGTTTTTTGTTTTCAAATAATAATAAAAAATTCCACACTTAAAATGTGAAAAGTCCACCACTAAAGTGATATAGGTATAAACAGAGAAATTAAACTATTGCTGGCATACATCCATACGTATATACATATATGTATATGTACGCACAAACATATATAGCAACCTAAAAATTGTTAAAACCAGATCCTTTACGATTTCCCTTACTCAAATGCAAATTATTTAGACCCACTGAAAGTGGACAAGTGCAGTAAGGTAGATACATAATATACCTAAGTGTATATATACATAAGAGTTATAAGAGTGGTTCAAAAATACATGTGAAAAAAGTTAAGTCCGAATTGTAATGCTCTCACCCCCTAGGATTTCTCTAAAAAAATATACTTATGTTTTTTTTTTTTGAAATCAAAAAATATTTAGAGGTAACATTCAATCAATCTCATAAATTGTTTATAATGACTTTTGCTAAAATTTCAAAATCAAAAGTTATCAAAACAAATTCTATGGGACTGAGAAATATTATTTTCTACTTTTTAGTCGATTTATAAAAGCGTGGTATATTTATTAAAAACTTGATTTTGTTTTATTTAATTTCTACTTTTTAGTCTTGTCTGTATACAATTTTGCAACAGATATTAAAATAATTCAACTTGCAGTGAAAAGAGAACAGAAGACTATGCAAGCAAAATGTTTTCTCCTCACGTTTAGCATATACATACATACATATAGCAGAAATTAATTTCATTTAAAGCAGTGGTCGGCAGGCCCAGTGTTGCCGTTTTGTAATGTTTAACCAATTTTAGTTTTTTCTTGCCTGTGAAGTTGTTAAGATCTTTCCCGTTTTGGTTATTTAATATTTACTGTAGTTTTTAATTGACATACGCCAGCTACACCTGTCGGGGTTGAGGAGAGTAGCAGCAGCAGTGGCAGTCCCAGCAGTGAAACCAAGTAAGCATATTTGGAATGAATGTATTAATATTAATTACATATGTATGTAATTGTTTTATAATATACAGAATACATAATATACATGGTACTTATATGCGGAATACAATACCACGTCATGTATGTACAATAAAAAAGGGATTTGGTTATTATTTTTCCATTACTGCTTACTTTATTAATTTAAGTTAAGATTAATAGTAATAATGTTATAGCAAGTAGGTTCAGTGAAAATACCATTCCACAGTTTTGAAAAAATCGTTTGGCGTATACGAGGTATTTCGCGCTGAGCGACGATATAGTGCAATAAGTCCAATTTTTAATTGTTTAATCTTCATCTTAAAATATATAAAATGTGGTTGTTCACGCTGATTAGGTATTTCATTGATNCAATACCAACGTCATATATGTACAATAAAAAAGGGATTTGGTTATTATTTTTCCATTACTGCTTACTTTATTAATTTAAGTTAAGATTAATAGTAATAATGTTATAGCAAGTAGGTTCAGTGAAAATACCATTCCACAGTTTTGAAAAAATCGTTTGGCGTATACGAGGTATTTCGCGCTGAGCGACGATATAGTGCAATAAGTCCAATTTTTAATTGTTTAATCTTCATCTTAAAATATATAAAATGTGGTTGTTCACGCTGATTAGGTATTTCATTGATTCTTACAAAGAAGATGGAAACTGTGTACCTGTGTACTTATTTAAAAACGTCGTTTAAAATACATATATATGCATCTAATACGGGAAGACTGATTTTCTAAAATATGTATTTACATAGTACAGCTTTAAAAGGATTTACTTTTCAAAAATGCAAATAAAAATTGGTTTGTAAACGTAGCATATAAAAAAATTTGTGATGACCTGAATTGTTAATCTAATAAAAAAATTTGTTATTTTTCCTTACATTTGGTAACTTTTTCGTCTTATCTTGGTTAGAAAGTTCTTTAAGCGACGGCAACACTGGGCAGGCCATAGCTCACTGAGCGCTCTCTGAGCACATGTGTGTTTAACACGTATACGAAGAGCGGAAGCTGAGCAATGCATTTAACGCACACAGTCTCACTTATTGAATCATTTGAATGTGTTAGAAATCCGACCACTGTCTAAAGCACCCTGCAGCAAATCAAACTGATTCAGAACTTTGCCGAGCTAGCCTGAAAAGGGCGGTACTGGTTCTTCATCTATCCCAACTCAATGCTTTTAACTGACTTTTTTAACATGGCGATGTCCTACGAATTGACAATTGTCGCCCTCTGCAGATATGTTGAACTTGTTCTGAACTGACTCTGGCTTCGATGGTTCTGAGACAGTTCATATAACAACAGGTCGTATTTCAAAAAGGGTCACTTCCGGGCTAGAACCAATGTGGTTAGTTTTGAGCTGGTTCCAAGAAGTTTAGTATAGAGCCTTTTCTTTAAATACTATAATTAAATAAGTACGCATACAATTTTGTAAATAAAAAATTATTCATTTTATGATTAATGAGCTATTTGTTTTGGACTAATTTTCTTTTTGAGGCAAACTGCGCTCTAAAATTAAGAACTTAAAGTGTCAGTTATTCCTTCATTTTCTAAAACTGTTATCTTTAAAATAATTTATATTTGTTACGTATAAAGGGTATTTCTGTGATACTTATAATTAAATATCTAAACTAAGTCGTGTGAAAAAATGAGAAAAACGGTGTTATATTGAATGCTTTTTTGTGATAACTCAGCGTTAAATTGTATTGAATGCATTGAAATGTAATACACAGACTCTCCGGCATCTAATACGAATTAATAGAATTTTGAATATTTACAATGGTTTTCATACTAAATATTTTTCGTAAATTTCTTGTTTAAGGATGGCTCATAAGTATTATAACATAAACATATAAATTCACGTTTCTAACTGTGTTGGAAATTTAGTAGAATTCTAGAAGCTGTAAAAAACTTCAATATTTTCAAACCGGAGTTATAAGTATGCATTCCTATAGCCCATTAAATTTCAGTATAATTTATCGCGCTGATTTTTCATAACTCTTTTTACGCACGCTTCGGAAGGTATTCTTCTATTTAAATATTTTCGTTTAAGATGCAAGGTTACACTTTACTAGACTAAAATTTTATGGGCTACAAAACTGAATACTCGAAATATTAAAAAAAAAACTCTGATTAAAAGGTTTGAAATTTGAAGACAGTTTTCGAGTTCTGTCAAGTTTACAGCACAGTTAAGAATTTGAATTTAAATGGTTTATGGATTATGAGACATACTTAACGAAAAATATTTAAAATGAAAAACATTGGAAATTAAAAAAAAATCACTGCATAACTACACACTTTTGTTTATCTTTTTTAAATTTTCCTTTGTTTTGTATAAAGTTTGAAAACGCAGTTTATATTATTTTGTTTTAAACATGATCAATTTTTTTATAAAATAATAACAAACAAATTTTAACTCTCAATATATTGTGAATATTTAAAAAAGAAATGGTGTACTTAGACTTTTGATCTTAAGTGTAGCTTAACTAAATTTTATGGTTATATTTTGCCATGATTCAATAATGAAAGGTTTTGTAAGTAGCTTTTTTCTAAAATTTGACACTCCCACCCACAGGGATGGTTTTTTGAAAGCAGGAGGAAAAGGGGAAGAATTCTATCACACATCCTAAAATGGTAGCTAAATTCCACAAAGAGGTGGGTATTTTAAAACAAAGACGAATTTGATTTAATTATTTAATATAAACCATCTTATTTACATCGAATACAACCCCTGATCGTTATTAAAAATAAATATTTCTACATGGGTCTTCATCAAAAGTGATAACTGTTGATAAACTTGATAAAATGATAAATTCATAATTTTGATAAATGAACTGTCGAACTTTGTATGGAAATCAATTTAACCAAAGTTTATCACTTTATCCGACAATTTTGGTGGATAAACCAATACATTTCAGCAAAATTCAACTCGACAGACTGCCAGGTGGTCGATTTTGCTACGAAAACATAAAAAGCAAATTAGCACAATGGACGAGGTAAGAATGAAGCGTAACTAGCCAGATAATTTAAATAATAAACAATATTGTACAATTATTTACCGAGGTGCGTTCATGAAAGAATGCGGATAAACTGATAAATTTAAGCAATTTATTCCGTACGTCAAAAGGCGAAGATATCTAGAATAGATGGTCCACTTAGAGATATTTTGTTTTTTTTGGTGTGTTTGTTTGCCTTGTAAATTCTTTGCGGTACCATTTACTGTTGATGGATATGAAGAAGCTATTTGTTTGTGGGGAAAAAACGACAAATAAAAACATTTGGAGCTTACGTTTCTTTCGCGGCTTTGGCTCGATTGCTTCGAATATGGTAATTCGGATTCTTTGATGTTGCAATTTTAGTGTTCTAGGGAGATTATGCCGCCGTGAGAATATTAAGCATTGGCTTACATAGTCGCGATTGGCGATTCGTGCTGGTCGAACTCAAGAAGAAGAGACAGGGAACGTAATCTACATCGTCAAATGAGAAGTGCCGTACGTACGCATTACATCACGATTGAGAGAATACAAAGGTTGCGCCGATCTCGGACCGCTATTCCTCTCTTAACGAATTTGACAGGATCGTTGTTTGCATGACGTCACACTGGTGCAACTTGTTTACGTTTTCCTTGCAACATTTTTTCTTCTTCTTCCATTCTTGCTCACGTTTTGGCATTTCTCTCTCGCAATTGCACCAGTGTGACGTCACACAAAAGTTATTCTCAAAAATCCTCTCTGATCGGCGCAATCTTGTATTCTATCATTCTTGGCATTACATCGCACCATTGACTAAACCGAGCTATCGTGTGTTACGATTGGCCCCATGGATGCGGTTTTCCAACATTATATTGCGTCAAAGTCTCATTCGGGGACACCAGGATTGTGTTGTGTAGGTCAACACATAAATATGTACCTTCGTTGACTCATTTACCAGAAACACTGCGCGCTTTATTTTACAGCGACTTGACAGAATCTATAGGTATCCCCGAATGTCAACAAATACAACTATTCGGCATTTAAGGGAATTTCGTCTCTTTAGCCTACATTGAATTTCTGTGCAGAACAAACATTTTTTTCAAATTTGGCCTTGTGCTCTTTAGAAACGCGTAGCAAATATCTTAAGAACTGCGTACTGCCTCAAGAAAATTTCTTAGCCATTTCTTGTACGTCATTTTATATGGACTATTTGCTTTTCTTGAGGGCTAAATAGGCCTTAAAAGATAATAATTTCACTAATTAATATTTAAAATGTTCCTAAAACTTGCAAAGAAATTTGGAAAAGAAATATCACTGTTTTTGTTTTTAGGAGTAGGTTGGGAATGTCATTGATAAAATTAGAGTGCGAGAAAGTTGTTCTTACAAAACCTTTCATTATTGAATCATGATATTTTGCATTCAAATTTATACGTACATATATGTATAAAAATTACGTTAATCTTACCAATGTTGACTTTTTTGGAAATATTTTAGCAGTTGCCCCGTAAACTAGAGAATTACATATTAAATAAACGAAAACAGTTTGCTATTTGTTTTCGGGTCTAAGAAAATCGAAAATAAATAGTATATGTAGTTCATTTGTGCATCTTTTGTCAGCTTTCGCATGACCAGGATAAGTAACATTGATGACAGCGCAACTAGCAACANGTGCTTTTCTTGAGGGCTAAATAGGCCTTAAAAGATAATAATTTCACTAATTAATATTTAAAATGTTCCTAAAACTATTAGCTATTTGTTTTAGGGTCTAAGAAAATCGAAAATAAATAGTATATGTAGTTCATTTGTGCATCTTTTGTCAGCTTTCGCATGACCAGGATAAGTAACATTGATGACAGCGCAACTAGCAACATATGAGTTTCAACCGTCCAGCCCTGCATCCCTTTTGCAGTAGTTCAGAGACAGTTATGAAATTTGTAGGGCGGAACTAGCGCTTTGCCAGACTGTCTCTAAATTTTGCTGCAGGGCAATGAAGGGCACACCAACCCAGTCTCATTTTGTCGTGGTATTAGTGCGTCACGCTCAGTTATGGTTGCCGCATATTTTATAAATGTTATAAAAGTTATATTTTTCGTGCATGTGTCTTTTGTCCTATTTTGCGTATACGTATAGTGGAATAATGAATCTTGGAAGTTTTAGTAACTAATACTANAGGGCACACCAACCCAGTCTCATTTTGTCGTGGTATTAGTGCGTCACGCTCAGTTATGGTTGCCGCATATTTTATAAATGTAATAAAAGTTATATTTTTCGTGCATGTGTCTTTTGTCCTGTTTTGCTTATACGTATAGTGGAATAATGAATCTTGGAAGTTTTAGTAACTAATACTATTAGTTTATAGAAACTTTTACATACGAAAAATTTAGTACTTGTAAAATTAAAAAAAAAATTAAATTTGATCAATACCTGGGCACCGTTTTGTTAGAATCAAATCTTTGCAATGCTGGCCGGCCAGATGGTAACGGTGTTTAGATTTTATTATTTTCATATATATATATAGTCCTATATATAGATATATTTAGTCCTAAAAATAGAGTATAACTTATTAATATTATTCATTAAGTATTTTTGGGCATAAACTAGCATTTACATTTCTCTATCGATTTCTTTAGACAGAAAAAATGCATCCGAAATAAAGTATGCAATTTGTGCCTTTTTTATAACAATTATTTTTTAAGCAAACAACAAAACCGACTTCAATTCTCATATAAAAATTTAAGATTATCGTTAATATCTTCATGATCCAATGGTCGGATTTAAACTAAATGGGCTCACCTGTGAGGTAATACCTTTCCTTTAAAAACAGAATTATAGACATCGCTTGACGTAGTCCAAAGTTATGCGGTAACATACATAAAAAAAAATATTTCGACGAATTGATAACCTTCCTCCTTTTTGTGAAGTCGGTGAAAAATTATGGAACTTATTATAAAAAAATATAATAATAAGTGAACGTTGATCAGCAAGCAGCCCATTTTATATTTTGTTAAATTCACATGGCATGAAAAATACAGTTTGCTTGTATTAACAAGTAATTTTTTGGCAAAACACAATGCCGACTTCAATTCTCATATAAAATTTTAGGAGTACCGTTAATTTTTACATGATCCAATAATCGGATCTAAATCAGATTAGTATGGGACCACCTCTGAAACTACCTTTCCGAAGCAAAAAGAATTTTCGAAATAAAGTTATACATAAAAAAAAATATTGCGACGAATTGATAACCTCCTCCTTTTTTGAAGTCGGTTAAAAATACGTAGGAATAACAGCACAACGGNAACCAACTTCAATTCTCATATAAAATTTTAGGAGTACCGTTAATTTTTACATGATCCAATAATCGGATCTAAATCAGATTAGTATGGGACCACCTCTGAAACTACCTTTCCGATGCAAAAAGAATTTTCGAAATAAAGTTATACATAAAAAAAAATATTGCGACGAATTGATAACCTCCTCCTTTTTTGAAGTCGGTTAAAAATACGTAGGAATAACAGCACAACGGACATTGTGGGTTGTTGAAAGTTCTTTGAACTATAAACTGTAGTTCTTATATAGAGTCGCACTATTTTGTGTTTGAATCGTAGCAAACGCACGCAAACAGCAATCTAAGAATAACACACCAATTTGCTTTGCCCATTTTTTTGTAAATTTCCTACACAAAATGTGGCAAGCGTGTGCTTAAATTACGAAGAAAAACAATCAACAGCCGAGCGTGATGTCACCTTGGTGAAATCTACAAGCAGACTGAATCGAAATTCGCTGCTTTGCTTCTGTATACCAGTGATCGGACTAATACCACATTGTGGTAGATCTACCACTCAAGGTCTAAAATCTACCAAATATACGCGTTTTTGCGTAACTTTATTTTTGTTCGACATAATTTTCTTAATTTTAAGAGTAAAAATATTCCAACACTAAACTCTATATGGTAACAACATTGATATAATACAAGATTTCGCATTCCGGCGACGATGAAATTTCTCAAGTAAAAGTAAACAAAGCCGAATGGGAGGATAAAATAAACTGTAAAATAGTAAATTTTCTCAGTAATAAATTTTTCGACAGAAAACGTGGTTTTATTGTGTTAAATTGCAAAATATATGATTTATAAAAAGAATTAATAGCGAAAATTAAAAAAGGCGATTTTTGTGAAAGTATTAGCAAATTTAAATGCATCTAAAGTTTCTCAGGCGTTGTTTACTTTTACTTGAGAATTGTAAAAATCGGTAAATCCCAGCTGTTTCTGGAACGTGCCACATTTGTTCGCTACTTCGTGATGTGATAAAAAGGAAAGCTGGCAGCACTCCACAAGGTTGCAGAAATCTCTTAAAATATGTTCGAAATATATCTTGATATGGAAGGAACTGCTTTACACTGTCAAGGAAAAAAATGTCACTTTATTATACTAAAACTAAATTTGTTTTTTAGTCTAATTAAAAAGTTTGCAATTTAGGTGAAACCTTGTAGAGTTTTTTTAATTTTTGTACAAAGTTTGATCCAAACCCAGAGATCTACCACATTTTTTTTAAATCTACCACATTTTTTTAGATTCTACCACGCAGAATTTTTTGAAAGTCCGATCACTGCTGTATACGTATACGAACTGCGGCGCTGGCGTTGATCGCGAGCAAAAATTGCCCATCTACAGTGGTCGGACTTCTACCCTAAAAGTGGTAGATTTTACATACAAAAACTGGTAGAAGTTGGTCGATTTTTTTTTTTAAATATTAGATAGTTTTTACTCATATAGAATGAATGAAGGCGAATTCAGGTAAGGTAGTGTTATCAGAGCAGCTGGATTTTCGCCTTGGTGATTCTTATTGTCACAATGATGTATTTGTTGAAATTCTTATTGTAATTACGCGTAAAATTTGTTAGTGGCCGTTTTGTTTTTGAACTTCTGGTATCACCTTATATGAATTCACCTTGGAATAAATTGTATTTTTTTATAATACAACAAAAAATGTATTTTACGCCAATAAAACATTGAAGAGAAAACGTAAAACTGGGCCCGAATCATGGCATCCGTGATCGAATGAAGCACGATTCGAATCGAACGAAATAAAATGACAGCCATTTGTCTTAAATATATTTTAAGCTGAAAGGGCGAACTCGCCGCCAAATGCCGTAATCCAAAAGAAATTTCGATTCGAATTTGATTCGAACACGGATGCCTTTATTCAGCACTAAAAAAAAAAAAGAATTACTCTGCACTACGAAATTGTTTGATTAAATTAGTAATGAAATGCTTGAAATTTGCAACTAGGGACACGAATTTCGATACGATACGACAGACATGGGCACTTTTTTGCCCGCGCAGTAGCGAAAGTGCGAGCGGGGGATGGAGAAAGGGAAAAACAGTTTAAGGAGTAGATTTGTTCCGTTTTGTCGAAAAAATTTGAAACCTAGTCCTCTACTTCGCTCAACTGAAAATCTGCTCCGTTTTGCTGCATCAACAAATTTACTCTTCATATAGAAAGGAGGNCTTTATTCAGCACTAAAAAAAAAAGAATTACCCTGCACTACAAAATTGTTTGATTAAATTAGTAATGAAATGCTTGAAATTTGCAACTAGGGACACGAATTTCGATACGATACGACAGACATGGGCACTTTTTTGCCCGCGCAGTAGCGAAAGTGCGAGCGGGGGATGGAGAAAGGGAAAAACAGTTTAAGGAGTAGATTTGTTCCGTTTNTTTTATTCAGCACTAAAAAAAAAAGAATTACTCTGCACTACGAAATTGTTTGATTAAATTAGTAATGAAATGCTTGAAATTTGCAACTAGGGACACGAATTTCGATACGATACGACAGACATGGGCACTTTTTTGCCCGCGCAGTAGCGAAAGTGCGAGCGGGGGATGGAGAAAGGGAAAAACAGTTTAAGGAGTAGATTTGTTCCGTTTTGTCGAAAAAATTTGAAACCTAGTCCTCTACTTCGCTCAACTGAAAATCTGCTCCGTTTTGCTGCATCAACAAATTTACTCTTCATATAGAAAGGAGGTGGGGTTTTTAATAGCAAACTAAAAGTTATATTTTACCTTTTTATCGACACGATTGTTACATTGGTGAGGTACAGCAACTTTGCAAATACACTTGAATTCGTGAATAGGCCCTCACAATCGCCCGATTTGACCCCGATCGAAAAATATTGCTCTGTATAAAGTTCTGTAATTGCGTCATTGCCCACCTATGTAACAATTGTCCCGGTAAAGAAAGAATGAAATAACTTTTTATTAATTTTAACCAAGGCATTTTAACTTTAATGATAAGTGCTCGTTGGATTAAGGCGCCTTTACACGGGTCGATTTTCTGGTAGATTTTTGTCGTTCTACCAAAATCGACCCGTGTAAATGACATCTCAACCGCTAGCTGGTCGATTTTCCAGTCTACAGATATCGACCCTTATAAGGCCGCTTTAGCTCCTTATTTGTACAAGGATACGAGGAGAAATGAATTGTTTTTTATAAAGATAAGAAATGCACATCTACTACGAATACTTGATATTTACTTCCATTTTTGTAATCCGAACCCAGCAAAGAGCGCTCGGTGAAGGTCAGCTAGCAGTGTTGCCAGCTTTCGATTTGCAAAAAGCACCAAAAACTTGGAAAAAAGCGTTTTACCACACTGAAAGCACTAAATGGTTTTGAATCAATTGATGCTTTTTTCACAACAGTTTGTATGTATTTAACAAAGACAAAAAATTAACAACATTTACAAGAATGCATACATAAATCAATAAACAAAACTTTTTCGCTCATAACGATTGAAAAGCCACATGCTATAATGACTCATGGTTACGACGTAATACCGAAGTACTGCGCATTAAAACTGATATAACTCAAGAAAGAAAAATCGAGTCCCAACAAAAGAAAATCATGCCCTAATTAGAAATGAGCAAAACAAATTTCGTTTTCATTATATAACCTCAAATATCGCCAAAAACCGTGATTTTGGCACTTGGAGATTAGGATATCTCAAAATTCTAGTGCTAGGGCAATTGTGCGGCCAGATTTGTATTCAGCACCAAGAAACGATGTGTTTTACTCAGGTGGTACAAAAAGAAAAATTTTTACAAATAATTAGAAAAGAAAAAAATACTTAACTTACTCGCATATCTACTAGCATTTTCAACGCGAATAGAATTGAACAAGGTGATTTTGCAAGTTCAGCTTTTTATCAATCATGGTTGTATTTAAGTGCATTTAAATTTGTAGATTTTTGTAAATTCAGTGCTCCACAGTAATAAATATTTAAAAATTATTTCAGGTTTTAACTATTCGGAGTAATATTAGTTCAGAAAAAAAGCACTAAAAAAGGCACTAGGCACTAAATAATTTTTTTTTGGCGTTTTAATTTTCAAAAATCACTAAATCTAGTGCTTAAAGCACCAAGTTGGCAACTATGTCAGCTAGTGATCAAATTTGCCAACAGGGCTGCCAAACATACATAGCTATGAAGTGCCATATTGAGGATAAAAAAGTGCTAAAACGTGCCAAATAGAAAATTAAAAGTGCCAAAAAAGGTATCATTCTTTTTAGTTCTTCCCATTAGCATTAAAATTAGAGAAATTAAAACAAAAGCCCAATGTCAAAGTAAGATAAACCAGTTGTATACACTATAGAAACTAGAAAATTTTAGTTGAGAAAAAGAAGTACACGCAAAGGATATCACAAAAATATATTTAAATTTGACTTTTTTCCAAAAGTGCCATTTTGGCACCTTGTGCAAAATTGGAAAGTTCAGTGCCATTTCATGTAAAATAGTGCCAAAAATGGCACGGTTTGAGCCAAGTTGGCAGCCCTGATCGCCAAGTTTTTTATTTAGAAAAGCACCAAAATACTGAAAATAGCACAATTTTCCCCCAAAACAAAAACACCAATTTTGTGTTGCTGTGTTTAATGGTATTTTCGCATATAAAACTGTATGTTCAAATATTTTAAGTAATACACAATGAAACTTGTAAATATTTCCAACTATGCGCAGTTAATCAATTTAATTTGCAAAATGTTTTTTTATTCGTAAAACAATTTCCAAAACTTGGTTTTTCTAGAGGCTTTATTTTCATGCAATTGCTTACTTTTGTACAAATGCGCACACCCAGCTAATTAGCAGAATATTCTATGGATTCCGTGATAGAGACTGTGTGAAAATATTGCGTTTGGATTATCTTGGAGCATATTATCAAAAGGAGAAGCTCGGCCAAACACTAACATATGTGTAAGTCAAATCAAGTTTTTATTATAAAATTGCCTTGAAAAGGGCACCAAAGAACAAAACAAGCGCTAAACTAAACAATTTTCGCNAAACAGCTGATAGAGATGCAATTTCACTGTTAAATTGGTCATGGTCAGAGTTAACTTTTCATATTTATTTTACGTGTGCTCGATGGCAAAATATGTGCATATACACTGCGTTCATTTAAATCTTATTGCTTTCTTTCCGAAAAATATTGGTAGATTTTAAGCCTTTGTTGGTAAAAATGGTAGAAAATAAAATACAGCTAAAAAGTTGGTAGATCTGCCAATAAAGTTGTAAAGTCCGTGCACTGCTTCTACCACATTGTGGTAGATCTACCACTTTTTGGAGCATCCACCACATCTACCACACAAGGTCTGAAATCTACCACATATTCGCGTTTGTGAGTAGTTATAATTTAGCTCCACATGATTTTCTATATTTTTTTTTATTTTAAGAGCAAAAATTGTCCAACACTAAACACTATGTGGTAACAAGTATGGACACGATATCGAATCGAAAGTATCGATATAGTACTAATTTAAAGTATCGCTGTAAAAATATCGGGTACCCATAAATATCGTAATAAAAAGACTCGATATTCCAAATATCGATACAAAATTCAAAAAATTAAATCTGAATATTGGTGTCATTTTCTATTAAAGAATTAACAATTTGCACTTTAATAAGTACATCACTGAAGGCACGCCACATAGCCACCTAAGATAGTACACATTTCTGCGCTTTAAAGCGCAAAATATATCCATATTGCTTTACAAATAAATTCCAAAGTAAGTAAGTATAGATTTACAAGAAATGGAATGTTTAAAAACAATACTAACAACAAAACTTTCAATAGAAATTTTAGTAAGAACAAATTTTTACATTTTGGAATTTGGAAAATAACTTTAGATATTTCAAATATTACTAAAAAAGTTTTATACAAATAGTCTTACCCACTTCCCAGAGTTTTGACGTTTTCATTTTATTTTCTAATACTTTGTCATACAAATGTATCATTATTCACATTAACTTTGTAATGTACATTTACGATTCGATACGATACAAGGGTTCTGGTACTCCATTCCAAAAATATCGTTTGACAACTTTCGAGTAAAATTATCGGTATGGAATGGCAAAAATATCGATATGGTATCATATCTTATCGAAATTCGTGTCCCTAATAACAAGAATGATAGTATACAAGATTTCGCATTCCCGGCGGCGATGATATTTCTCAAGTAAAAGTAAACAAAGCCAAATGGGAGGAGAAAATAACGTGAATTTTCTCAATTTCTCAATATTAAAATTTTCGTCGGGAAGCGTGATTTTATTGTGTTAAATTGCAAAATATATGATTTATAAAAAGAACTAATAAAGAAAATGTAAAAAATCGGCGATTTTTGTGTAAGTATTAGCACATTACAGTGCATCTAAAGTTTTTAACGCGTTGTTTACTTTTACTTGAGGATTGTCAAAATTGGCCAAACCCAAGTTAAAAATTTTGTCTAGAGATTCGAATTGAAAAGTTTTCAGTAAAGGTGAAACCTTGTAGATTTTTTTTAATTTTTGTAAAAAAAAAGTTTGATCCGAAACCTGAGACCTACCACATTTTTTCCAAATCTACCACATTTTTTTCCAGAATCTACCACACAGAATTTTTATTAAGTCCGATCACTGCCCATCTATGATTTAAAGAAATGGCGTGTCGTCCATATCCGCTGTTGTGTATGTAGTGCATATTTTTAGGCGCAATATTTAACTTCTTCTGGCGAGGCGACATCTACCTCTAGAGTCTTCTTATTGTATGTCTTTGATATGATACCTAAGACGAGATTGATATCTAGACTAGGTTGTATAAATAACTTTGCCATAAATACCTTTGCTATAAATGGTGGTCTGGACATACAACATTGCAAGTTGATAAACGCATTGTAATAAAAAGGGGTATGTATACTGAGACTAACTATTTCATAGCTCAAAGAAGTACAGCTTAGGGTGGGATAAGTTAACGACGCGAGCCGATTACAAAATTTCGAATGCGGCTAATTTCGATCCCTGAGGGATCAGTGTTTGTTCAGAAGTGTGAGCCGAAATGCTTCCATCTTAGCCTCGCGAAGGTTGGACAGTCTAAAAGACAGTGTGGAGATGATTCCACTTCATCTTCCTCTTGACAGCTGACACGAAAGGAGCAGTAGAAATTCCTAGTCTCACCGCATGAATACCAATCGCACAATCGCCTGTCAGAACCCCTATCACTAGCCCTTGAGAGGTAACGAGTTTTAAAGTGCCCTATAAAAACATTTGCTGCAGCAGAAAAACGTCTTCTTTTCCTTTTCTATGTCAGAAAATGACCCGGTTTACCTTAGCTTAATAGCAGTTCGTGCTGCGACAATTCTGTCTGCAGGCGCCACTAACTCCTGTTTTACAAGTGTAGCCTTCTCTAGTGAGTTCCACCAGACAAGGGCTCCTTGAAATAATATAGGCTTAAATCTGGTTTCCTAGAGCTAATGAATTAATTTGGGCGAGAGACCCCACCTTTTATCGATAGCTCCCCTACAGCAGTACAAGGTAACAGATACCTTTCCTACCCATTCCTCAATGTTAGGCTTCCATGACAGCCGCCGTTGATCGCCCACCTAGTTACCTGGTTCAGGTAACCTTGAGCCAGATAAAAAGAGTGTATAGAAATCGTCCCTTAAGCAAAAGTTCCACATTATCTACATAGGCGATCACCCAAAAGACCACTTTTCCCAGTTCCTCTAGAAGGTCGTTTACAACCGCAATCCAGAGCAGGGGAGAGAGAAAACCACCTTGTGGAGTGCCGCTATTGACTCTGCACTGAGTGCAGACGCTCCCCCACTCCGCCGCGATAGTTCTGTCACAAAGTAAACTGTAGATAAGCCTTATTAGGTTGGTTTCAACCCCCAGGTTATGAATATATCTACTTGACTATTGCCTCTGGAGTGACATTGTTGAAGGCCCCCCTTGATATTGAAGAAGCCCCCTACTTCATAATCTTCATGCGTGAAGGATTCCTCTGACGACTTTTCCAATGTGTGCAGGCCAATGTTCACCGACCTTTTCTTGCAATAAGCATATTGAGCTCTTGAAAGACAGNCTTCATAATCTTCATGCGTGAAGGATTCCTCTGACGACTTTTCCAATGTGTGCAGGCCAATGTTCACCGAACTTTTCTTGCAATAAGCATATTGAGCTCTTGAAAGACAGTCACGAGGAATAGCTTTTCTTATGTACAGGTCTATCAGTCTAGCGTTTTTAGCAAAACCAAAGAGACTGATAGGCCTAAAATCCCTAAGGGAAACGTGAGAGCTGTTGAAGCCAAAAGCCTTTAACGTTTGGGAAACACTGATTTACTTTCGGCCCCGCCATCAGCTGCAAAGATGCATAACTGCCGAAAGCACACCGGTGCTTCCTTTACGATATCACATGCTCATATAAGTATGTATCTTATAAGCAGAACATCGTTATAGTCCCAATACACACATCACCACATCAGTAGTACACATCACCAGCTTGGAGTACACATCACCAGCTTCCGCATTCTTGGCACAAAGGTAATCTTCGTTACGCTTGTGTATAATTTATTCACTTAATACTTTTCTGCACTCTTAAAATCTTAAATAAAGTTAATACATTTTCACTAATTAAATCGTTTGTATATTTTCATTTTTTTCATATACATTTCCTCTGAGTTTGAATCGGCGCTCTATTGAGGTATTTTCGCCCAAACAAGAGCCTTTTTCGGCCTTCGGGATGAACACAACACTGACTATCCTCTAAGCCTTGGGGATGTACCCGGTCCTCACGCAGTTCGCATAAATAGGATCCAACCAATTTCACGACACCTTCAGAGCCCTTTGGAGCTGCGCGTTATTATGCCATCGGTCCCCGGCGACTTTAATTGTTTGAACGAATTTATCGCCCAGGCCATGTGACGATAATAATAATAATAATNAACACAACACTGACTATCCTCTAAGCCTTGGGGATGTACCCGGTCCTCACGCAGTTCGCATAAATAGGATCCAACCAATTTCACGACACCTTCAGAGCCCTTTGGAGCTGCGCGTTATTATGCCATCGGTTCCCGGCGACTTTAATGGTTTGAACGAATTTATCGCCCAGGCCATGTGACGATAATAATAATAATAATAATCCCAACGGTTTTTACCCTCCATTCCCGCCCATCCGCACGAGGGGCGCAGTCCGCATGACGTACGGAACCAATATTTTCAACTTCTGCGCCGAGTCACGATAGGCAGGAGTTTGTTAAGCGTCGAGATCTAAAACTATTCAGCTACAGAACTAAATTAATCAGCTGATTTTATGTCTTTGTGTTAATAATTCATTTATTGAGAGAGGATAGTATCGCTTTCTTAATGCTGAAAATCGAACCAGATATATCAAATGTGCTGGAATGAGAGTTAAAATCCTGGCATAAGCAACGGAGTGGCTCGTGTAATTCAAAATTAGTTTTACAAGTTTTCAAAAACAGGGGATAAAAGTGTCTTGATACACGGGAGGGAACATTAAGGCTAACTTCACCCAGAAGAAGCGGACTTGAAATTGAGTCTGCCAGTAGTTTAATCATAAAAATTGTTCCAAGTATTTCCCTGCGACTGACAAGTGTAGGAAGATTAATAAGTTTTAATCGGCTGGCAGTGGCGTAGCCAGGATTTGGCCTTGGGGGGGGGATGAAAAAAAAATTTCCATCGATAACTTAAATCTGTGACACACAATGGCTAGAGGGGTCGCCTGAGTGCATTCTTTCATATATTTATGTATGTGCCAGTTTTACCGTTATATATTTTTTATCTACTCGTTTATTCTATGGGGTCTTCATGCTTTATTTAAATTTAAAAAATTAAATTACTATACCATTTTAAAAATCTGAAAATTCACTGCGAGAAATTTTTTTATTCTCTTTTTGTCTTCGCCTTCTCGTTTTTGCCTTTAGAAGTTTTCAAAAAAGGTTTTGAATGAACCATTATATCACATTCCTAGGCAAGTTTTGAAAGAATATTTTCGATACTAGCTTTTATTAAAACAAAATGTCGAAATCAGTTTCATATAGAAACAGTGTCATCGTTAATTAAGAAAGAGATGTTCTTAAATATCATAACTTTACG